CCCAGCCCGCCGCCATGGCGCGCAGCCGCCCGGCCATAGTCACCGCACCGCCACAGCTGGTGGGAGGACAGCCACATTCAACTCAGTAACAACCACATCCACACACCATGTACATACTCCACCTAACAATGTAGAGTGTCAGCATTCTTTCTTTAGGTACTTTTTGCATGAGATCCAGGCGTATATCATAGTATGTAAAACAATCTTCAGGGTAGTTTCACTGATATAGATTTCTGTTCTTTGGATGTCATCTTTAACATTTAAAGATCAGGGCCAGGTCACTATCAATGATAGCAGTGAAATCTGTGTAAAAGTCTCTCTTTGGGCATGGTGGAATTCCTAAGGATGTTATTTATGAAGTTCCTTTTGTGTGTGATGGCAATTATAACATGTAAGTCATCCTGACACCAAAGGCTTTATTTATTTACCTATAAATATGATTGTAAAGACATTGTGTTAGAATGGTGTGAATTTTTGATGGAGGCCACTCTTTGCCGAGTGCATAGATTTGTGATGTTATGTTTAGTACAGGGCAACTATTATCAGGTGTGAAAATAAATGTTAGATTGTTATTCTTTATGTAAAATTTGGTTGTCCATGTATTGGTAGAGATTGTGTCATTTATTCTTGTCTGTTAAGAAGTAAAAAAAAATGAATAAAAGTTTTAAGTTCTAGTTGGTTCACTTTGTAGCATGTGTCTTTTTCTTAAAATCATTGACGTTATTGCAGCACTGATGATAGGTATGTATGGTCTACTTCATTTTGGCTGATGCTAACAAATTTGGAATGTATAGTTAAATCAATCTTACCTGATTGTAGCTCAATCTTTGCACAACACCATAGAAAAACTTGTTTTCCAGTACAGCTTTTTAAAGTGATACAGGTATTGTTGTTTTGAATCTTCAACATACTAAATTCTACTTCCAAGGAACTGGTCAATGACTAATATTGCCATTCTTTTGCACAGCTGTGTGTAGATCATTATGCATTAAAAACACATTGGGAGATGTTGTTATGCTGCCATTTTAGTTGACTTTTGTATGTTACTTGTTTCAGGGTGTATTCTTCAATAGATACTGTTTGATGTATTATGTTTGTTACTAGATCCTTCACATTGCCAATACCTGGGTCGGTTGCAAAAATTAAAGTAACTGCACTTTGTATGGTACGAAGAAACCTATACGTGTAGTACAAAAATGTTTTTCTTTATTTTTGCAAGTCTTGACAATATTTCTGATGTAAAAAAAGTACTGGCAGTTTGCAGTTCTTCAAGTAGTTACTAGTATTAAGTATGGAGAGAACAAATTTTAGCATCTCTCACGATCCACTGTTATTTATTTCCTCTGTATGCACTTTATTGCTGTACATGTATGTACCTCAAATTGTGATTGTAGCATGAATGTAATTTTCTTTAGTGTAACTATAAAAATGAAACGTTTGACAGGGCCATGCAAACTACTGTATTGCCAATAATTCTCTATGATTAATTATGTTGACATTGCTGTGTACATTTGAATGGACAATGTTGAATATTTCTTGCTTCAATTAAAGTTACACATTCATAAGTCATGTAGTCGAGAGTGTAAATCTATGTGTAAACCTACTCAGCCAGACATAATTAAAGAACCACACAAAGAACTAATGCACACAACTAATATTTCTAATTTGTGGATTTATTTTCTTCTGGAAAGCAAGCACGGGTAATCTGAACACTTATTGTCTTTTGCCCCAAATGGTTATGCAACACTGTTATGTGAGCTTGAAGATCGCAATCTCTTGTTTTTGACCAAGGAACAAAAGACAAGCAAACTTGGAAGCTGGAAATACACAATAAAAAATGCTTATAATCTTTTTTTTTATTATAGAATTACATGAAGTGGGGTGCGAGACTTTCTATGGCTACCAAAAAATACATGTACAAACAAAAAAATGGCCAGTAGCTTTCAGAAGCAACAGCCTTGCCTCGAAATTTCTTTTGCTATGCTCTATAGAAAAGTCAGACCGTGACAAGCCTGTCTCCTCTGCTAATAGACGTAACCTCCATACAATGTAAGGGTGTGTATCAAACATACAAGTAAACAAAGCATGGTAATTGCTTTAACACCTACAGAAGGGCATGCTCTAACTTGAAAACACGAAGATTTGCTGCCCAACAGTGGAGTCCTTACTTCTGTTTAAATGATTGACTGTCTGACAGCACGTTTCATACACAGGTACATCCCTAATACTACGAGGGTATTGCATACGCAAGGGAAACAACACTGTAGAAGCGGCAGAATTACAATTGCTGCAGACATTACCTTATATTACCATGTTCTCTTAGTCTTACAGCACCTTTTTTTATTTGGATCCATAAGTTCTCTTAACCAGTACTATGAATAATGATGAAATTGCTATGTAGTTATTGAAAATCACAGCAGGATTCTGTTCACATCTCTTAATGCATCCAATAATAGCAGTAATAGCCACAAAATGGTTTCAGAATTATCTGAATACAGGATTGACACTGAGTACAGTTTACACTACGACTTGTAACAGTAAACTCCTCATTCGCTACATACCAGTTAAAATTTGAGACATTGCATTTTAACATTATACTTATAGAGATTCTTAGTACACGATACATGCAACTTAGTGGTTAAAAGCACTAGCACTTTTTATTTCTTCTTTAGAGTAAAGAAGCCTCTCTTCTTCCTCTCCGGTGCCTGGGGAGAAGAGTCGCCTGCCTCGCCACGTGTAGGTGGATATGTGGCTGCACGCGCCGGCTCCTTGGACTCCCCTACGTCTGCTATGCTTGATATCTTGTGGATCCAGAAGTTCATTTCATCCTGTAGGAATAAAAAGTGGGTTTGCAAGAGTTAGACATCGTCTCATTGTCTGTACAGAACCCTTCGCTTACAAACCTGTGACAACTGCTTGCCTGGGGAGACTGGAATGAAACTGATTGAAAAGGTAAAACTGTACAATGTTGGGTTGATTCGCTTCTATCATATGGAAATCACTCATCATCATCGTTTCACTGAGGGGTTTGACACTTGGGCAGTGTTTTGGTGGATAGCACTGAACACTAGCACTTAGGTGATAAATAACAGGACAGTGTGTAGGTTGCAACAGCATAGTCTCATTACAAAGCCACCACAGCAACAATCATCCCTCCTGAGGTGCAAGCTCTAACACAATTTCACTACTGCCTCACTACCTGGGAAGGATGCTGAGGTGGAAAGTCTTGCATTGACAGACAAAACTTGCAACTTAAGAAGCCAATACTAAACAACCTGCTAAAGCACCCCAACAATGAAACCATAAAAACTACAAACCATAAGAAAGGCAATGACTACAAAATAAAAATCTATTCATGGTACACTTGTACATTTAATCCTTTTATTGCTAATATGCTTTATATGCATTAAAAAAGGCAAATTTTTTTTACCTCATCCTTAGCCTGGAATAGGTACTCTCCACCATTGGCCAGCCTGGAAAAAACAAATGACATGATCAGACCACCACCAGCTAGTCTACCTTATACCCAGCAAATTTGCATTGCTACTTCCTACATCAAGGAATGCAAAAATAAAAAATAAACAGGAGAAACAAGATGCTAGTGTTCAGATGTGGTCTGGGGCGACTCACTTAAGCCTGAAGACGTTCTTTTTCTTGGTGTAATTGGTAGCTGCTTCACAGGTGCCCCCCACCACTGTGACGGGCTCCTCCCCGTGGAAGGTGACATTGGAGGTAAAGGCCTTCTGGTCCTTGTGGAAGCTGAGTGTGCTGTCACGTAGGACAGTGTACACTGTGCTCCAGGACCTGGGGAGGGGACATGGTTAATATATGTACATATTTAAAGTTAAGATTTTTGGTCCGACACAAAAAATTCTCTCACCTAGAGCATTCGACCAGTCACTCTGGTCTTCCTCAGTAGACTGACCCAGTG